CACTTCCCTAGAAACTTTACGTATTTCTCAGGGTAAAGCAGAAATCATCCTTGTTTAAAAAAAAAAATAAAATGCATATGTAAGTCTCAACAATCACCAAGGGCAACAATGCATCACTAACCAGTCTGGTAAAAAAAAAAAAAAAATACTGGTGCCAGTATCCATTTAAGGCTTTTATTAAAAAAGATCCAGCATTCACAAGTCTACAAGGAAACACAAACTAACTTGTATCAACCAGTCTTGGAGCTGATAGTGTTTAGTTCTCACAGGGAGCACAGAAAGCACCAATAAGAATTATCACAGGTCAGTGTACTACTCCCCTTCAGCAGTAAGTTCAGCATAATTCACAACCTGCTACTTTATTTTCATAGATTGTTCTTCAGAATACAGAACTGTTAACAAAAATAGGCCTGGCTTATTCTTTCAGGAAGATAATCTTAGTTTTTCAGGAACATGAAAGAAATCTCCATTGAAAAGTATCTTTAAAAAAAAAACCCCTTCAGACCATGAGTTCCAGAAGGTCTGCTTAAATTACTGTAGGCAAAAAAAAAAAAAATAAAATTAACAAGTGTAACATTTATTTTATAACAAAGTACTTTCTCTGCAGTCAAGCATCTTAAGCATTTTGTAGCACACAAGGACTCTCTGAAGTCAGCCAAGGAAAGCTGACTCCCTTGCACACCTCACATTCTACCTCCACAAGCAGCTCTTTCCTTGGGTTATCTAGCATTCCAGCCAGCCAGATGCTCTTGCCTTTTAAAGTAAGATTAGCTTAGTTGAGGAGTAGTTTGTCCATTAACATCAGTGAGCCTTTATGAGTAACAAATCAAAGAATGCACTCTGCAGGAGTGACTAGGAAGGTAGCTGCTCAGCAACAGGCTTTCCACTGAAATTATGGGACAGTATTAATTTTCATTATGAACTTGAACACCACTTTTCCCACTGAAAGCCCAACTTCAGTTTGTATTTAACTCTCTTCACAGTTTTTAGTTACCACCTCCTAAAAATATGTTCTTTTTCACATTAGCAGGACTTACATGAGATTATTGCTAAAGCCATGACCTAGCATTACATTTAAGAGCTAACATTTTTTGAACTGTAATACTGGAATTGCATAGTTTCCTCTGAAATACTTGTATGGTAGCCTTTCCTCACATTTTTCTGTAAGAAAAATGAAACAGACCATTCTCAAATATGGAAACAAACTTGTCCAACTTGAGGCTAAATAACCCAGACCTATACCAAAGCTCACTCCACAACGATTTGATTACTAAAACAAAGCTTTCACATTTCAGACATCATTGTACAGTAAAAGCTCAAGTCTTAGCTATTGTCTCAAGCTACTCACTGAGCATCTTAGACAGGAGCATGTAGTACACAGCTCATGGGTTCAAATAAAGAGCCAGATGGTTCTTCATGAGTATCATGTGCGACAGGAGGAGGAGCTTAAGCCAAGTGTTTTAAAAATAGGATCTATGCTCGCAGAAAGGCATGGTGCATCACTCTGCTTTTGCTGTGGTAGTTGTCAGTACTGGAAACAAAGTTTTGTGTACCAGGAACTTGCATGTATTTCTGCTTTTGCAAGTGGGGCAAGATGCTATTTCAACATGCTTCTGTGTGCCATTGTTGATAAATAGGAAGAGTAATTATCTGGTAGCTGCAAAAAGATAAAATTAAAAAAATCATGCATCATCATAAGCCTACTCCTTAACTTATCAGGTTGACTCATTTTTTTCATTAGATTTTTAATTACCAGTGGTGAGACTTCATTTCTGAGAACAAGCATACATTTAGCATTTTAATCAGAGGTTGATTTCCTAGCTATTTGAAATAAGCAGAGTTCATAAAATCATTATCTCATTGTTCTATTCCTAGTTATTAACCCCCCTACTTTGTTACTAATACCTGAGCGCCTAGTTTGGAGAGGTATTTATTCCTTAAACTAAAGTCATCAGCTTTTGGCCGTAATTTAGCCAAGTCATCTTCATTTTGACGTCTGAGTCTCTCTTGTTCTTCTGCTCTGGAAAAGAAAATTGGTTTAAGATATTTGCACCGAGGAGTGCAAATCCAAGCAGCTTTATCTTGTGTATGCAGTTTTATTTTTAATAACTACAATATGGTTGTAATATTGATAGATGAATACTGGATATCAGATCAAATAGACTAAGATGTGTATGGATTACTCTTAATTCAGTGCAAAAAAGGAGAGAGGCTGTTTTCTGAAGTTTCCTTTTATTTAGATTGCAAGACTTCAATAGAAAGATAAACCTTTTGGTTTTCACAGATTACAACATGTTCAGTGAGCTTTTCTAACAGTTTTTACTATCTCTTTATTAAACAAGCTTTCACTCCTTAAAATAAAGATTACAATACAAAAAGAATCAATTGTCAAAAATGCAAATAAAAGACTGCTCAGCAGTCTTCAGAATTAACAGTCTCCTACAAGAGTGAGTATTTGACCAGAGCATAATAGCTCTTTTTCCATATAAATCTTAAAGAGAGACAGAACCAAACAAAGCTTTAAATATACTTTGCTTAAGACAATGGTTTGCATTAAGATAGTAATAAAGGCAGTAAGTGACCCGTTTCTAAGCTCTGTAAGGCAATGAGCCTTATTACAGAACATTAAATGCCATTACATTAAGAAATCTTGACCCCCAAGATGATAGTGCTGCACGTAAAAGACACTTCATGCTAGTTTTTATCTTGTCTCAGGTTGCAGGCTACCCTTCTCCAGTGACAGAGTTTAAACAGTGCAAAACGCTATAAACCCATTCTGTTCAAATTAAGAGATCATTTGGCATTAGTTAAAAATGATTACAAAGCATAAAATTCAGCCATTTACTGTAAACCCCACCCAGCATGTTAGTGGTTTTTCTAAAGAGCTACTGTGCAGTGACCAAACTACACAATACTATAATTCTTCAAGTTGTCATGATGCTGATCAAATGCTCCCCACTTCTGGATGATATTTGCTATTCAAATTTCTTTTCTGAAAAAAACATTGTAATAAAAGTTACTGAAAATACTGTTCTAAAGCACTATATCCCACAGCATACACAAATACAAAGCCATTCTCCATAGAAAATACTGGAAGTGTTACACACATCTCACATGGGCCAAACAGATTGACAAACAGCTCTATTTGGACAGACAACTCCTTCTCTCCTGGGTACAAGGTTTTGGGGTTTGTTGGTTCATTTGTATTAAAAACTGCCTGTGACCTTTTTGCTTGAGGATGATACTCATCACAGCTAAGCTAGGATGCTCACCAAGTCTGGTGAGGTTTTAGTTTCCTTGAGATTTCCTCAAGACTGATGTGTAAAAAGCCCACAAATTAGGGAAAAAACCAAAACCATCCATGTTAAACCCCCAAAGTCATCTGGCTAGACCTTATTGACACGTGTTTTGATTTTTTTTCAAGACAACCCCAGTTCCCTTAGCCGATCCTCATAAGACTTGTGCTTCAGGCCCTTTACCAGCCTTGATGCCCTTCTCTGAATCTGCTCCAGCAACTCAGTATCTCTCTTGTAGTGAGGGGCCCAGAACTGAACACAGTATTCAGGGTGCAGCCTCACCAGTGATGAGTACAGTATTGTCCTGGCCTGCTGGTCACTCTATTTTTGATAGAGGCTAGGATGCTGTTGGCCTTCTTGTCTGCCTGGGGACAACCTGGCTCATGTTCAGCTGGCCAGCAATCAGCACCACCAGATCCTTTTCCACCAGTACATAATTAAGTACATATGTTAAGTACATAATGGAGAAGCTGGAGCAGAAGGATCTTTTGCCTTTAAGGTGACATTTTCAAGTGGACTTTGCCACATAATACCTTTCCTCTCCTCTTGCTCCAGTACAAGGCAATTATTTTGAAACCCGCTGTCTCACTCCCTTGTACATCAGTCCATACCCACTAGAGCTTTACCCTCATTTAGCATTCTCAGATAGCAAACAAAAAAAAAAGCAAGTAAACTTTCTAGTGCAGAGGGGATAAATCCAGTGCCCTAGAAACTCAGGAGATATCCCAGCAGCAGGGGACTGATACCTTCGTGTTTGATCAAGCAACACTTAAAAAGCAAAAGTATCCAATTGCAGCTGTTAGGACTATGCACAGCAATGGACCTTTAACATGTCACCAATATTTTGTCAAGACGAAGGAAGAGAACTTTGCAAGTTACTATTCTGAAGTGTCACTTACCTTATTTTCTGTAGAGAAGAAAGTAGGACATACAAGTTTCCCACAGAAAGAAATTTGCTTAATTGGATGAACTGTCAAAATTTGCCTATTTTGATAATTTCTGCCCTAAGCGCACCTCAAGTGCTCCATCTCCTTTTAAAGGAAGTGGATTCCACATTATTGAAATACCCCAACCCCATTTTCTCCCTAAAAATTGGATTTTTTTCACTGTAATCAACAACATCTGACAAAATCTGACCACAAACTGCGTTCCATATTAGCACTGCAATTTAGACTCAAGCCACAGTTTTCAGAGGCAAGTTGAATTAAGACTTCTAAATAAGATAACAAGAGAAGCACGCTGAAACTGAAGGGGATGTGACTGAAGTGCAGTTTCTTCTGAAGGGAGATCTAGCTTTTAATGACACTTCAAAAAAAGTTGGTCTATGCATTACCTGACATTAAACTCGGGTAACATTTGCTGCTGACTGGGTCAGTTACACACCATATAAATGAAGCACATTTTTAAATAAGCAATACAACATTTTTTAAACACGCTTCAGTTCCACTCAGTTGGAAGGCCACTGAAATAAAAAAGATAGCAAGGAAGAGTGCCAGAAAAGGACGCCTGGTTAATTGCTACTTCCTCTAATTATTCATTCACAGGAGGCAGGAGTATGAAATCCTGCTACTAACTGGTAAGAAAGAAAACAACATTCAATACAAATGGCAGACCTACAAAAGAGACTGACCTCAGACAGTAATCAACTTAATCACTTCAGGTTAAACAATTCCTAAGGACACTGTTCTTTATTGTTCTTTATACTTACTCAGTTGCAGCTGCTTTTTGCAGTTTTTCCCTTTTCTTCACAGACCAGTTGAGCTCACCACCTGCAACAGAAGTAAAATACACTTGAAACTTTTAAAATTGGTGTTTTTGTATTATATCTTTGATATCATACTCACTACGGAAGTTGTCTGAGTCCTTGACAAAAGAAATCAGCAGAGTAATTTTACAAAAGTAAAGAGCAACATGTTCATAATCATCTGAGCAAGCAAAATCAGAACTCAAACTAAGCTCTCAAACCTGATCCAGTTTTCTGTTGAATAAAATGAAGTTTCTCTACAACTCACCATAATACCCCTGAAAACTAAAGAAAGTGGAAGCAACTTTGAAAGAAATTAATATCCCTTCCAGGTCCTTCAGTAGCTATCACTTCAAAGAACAGTTGAGAAAGAACACTGCTATTTGAAGGAAAGTCTACAGAATTAAGTTTTCATATTTGCAGATATGCACATAGTCAAGTTTGATACACAGTTTAGAAAAAGCTGCAGAATATTCTACACAACTGTTCAAGTCAGCTGAAGAGATAGGTACCCCAGCCCTGTGACAAGATTTCACATCACAGCGAGGTGCAGGGAATTACACACTACAGCATTGACAAAGATGATGTTACAAAGACTGGCTTCATCAAGAGATGCTCCTGATACCAAAGCCAGGAGCTATACAACACCATCTGTAAACAGTTCAGCTTGATAACTTCAAGAATTATGATTAAAAAAAAAAGTATCAAGAGAAGCTGAAAACACTTGCTTACCTGTAAGGTGATTCACAAAATACAGCATGACTACAGCTATTAGTGACACTAAAAAAACAAACAAACAAACAAACAAAAAAAAAACCCAAACCAAAAAATGGGGAACATTTTTAGCTGACAAATTTACAATAGAAGAACAGCTTTAATATACAACTGCGCAACAACTAAGAGTTTTCATGACACTTGTAACTAAGGGAAGATTTTTGCCAGCAGCATCTCTTAATTGCTTTTGAAAATTCCATTATGCTCTTAAGTAGCATGGTAACTCAGAAAAGGTTAGTTTAGTTTTAGTTATATTAAAAACAGCTCTCATAAACATAGCCTTTAAGAGTATTATTTACCCAGCCTTTTACTCCATTTTCGTTGAAACACTGAAACTACTCACAATAAATCACTTCAATAAAACCACAAAACACTTCACTAGGTTTTAGTTACTTTCAACATCACCCCAGTTGAAACCTCTACCTAACTGTAAGAAAGGAGTTATTACTGTCTTAAAAGAAATATCAAGAAAAAAGCCTGATAAAGCTTCTTGGATGCACGGAATCCACTTTCAATGTTTTTAGTACTTACAACAAACACAAGCACTGAAGAAGACTTCAAGAAACAAGTATCCTCTTGTGTCCAGAATCATCCCTGCTGCTATAGCAATAATCGCCAGACCGAGATTCTGGATAGACTGCATGCTAACACATAAACAAAGGATTACGACCATGTAGAAATTAATTTTTAAAGAAAACATTAATGGTACTGCTCAGACAATGAGATTAACTCTCCATTCTTTATGACATATGACAGATGCATGACTCTGAATTCTTGCAGAAGTTTCTGTGCACTGGATGGGGCTTTGAGCAACCTGGTTGGAAGGTGTCCCAACCCATGGCACGGGGTTGGAACTAGATGATCTTTAACCTCCCTTCCAACCCTAACCATTCTATGATTGTGATCTACACAACCACATGCTGTACTACATACATCATCCTGAAACTACACAAGACTTCCTGCAAGACCAAGGCTGGAGGAATTAGTAACCATTAACATGTTGTAACTGCTGGATATTCAGCAGTTCAACAGCACCAGGACATAGTCACTGTAAAGCAGCACAGACGGACAGATTTAGGTACTTACAAGCCATAAGCAGTTCCCAGCTGGTGTTCTGGAACAACAAAAGCCACCATGGGCCACAGGGCACAGGCAAGCAGTGAGTATGCCACTCCTAGCAAACACTGGTGAAATAAGAACAACAGATGTTAGATTACATGCATTTCTGCTGTAAAGTTATAAATAAAAATATTGATTTTCCCCTTCTCCCAAAAGAGGGGGGGAAGTAACAATTTTTGCAATATTGGTCTAAATACATATGCACATTTAGATGGAGAAAGAACTTTTCGCAGGAGTGGCCCACAAACTAAATCCTACCTAATTAACTTTAAATAAAGAGCCTGACTTGAATACCCAATGGAAAAGATCAATGCTGCAATTCACTAGAAAATACCTGAAAAACAAGGTCCCTGTTTTTAAACCCTGATACACTGGCGAGTGCTGTATTTAAGCCTGTAAACCTTAGTTCAAAAGCAATTTTTCATGGAACCTGCCCTAGGAAGGGGAAATCAATAACAAAGATTTTTATTGATGTTTCCCGCTATCCAATATAGCACATTAGAGACAGTTTAAGTAATAGCAATAAGCAGAACTACACCAAAAGAACAATTTTTAGGAGAAAAGCAAGCACGTAGCAGAGTAATCTACTAATAGTTAGCGTAAGCAGTATCCACGAAGCATGAGAACAGACCTCTGCAATAGAGCACCACCAAACCACAGATACTGTGATGAACTAAAGACTTCTCTGAAGGGACAAGGAATTGCCACTCCATGCAGACTTCCAGTCTAATCCCACCCTTCTAAGAAGCTGAACATCTCTTTGCACTAAACAGCTATAGAACCACTGCTACAGACAGCAGCCGCCACTCTTTTCCACCTCAAAACACACATAACTAACTACTGCCTCTCTCCACAAAACACCAAAACCTGAAGTGTTATCTTTAGGCCACAGATAGCTCATGATAGTTTTGCCTGTATTAAGCATCCTTTGTTTTTTTCACTGTCTTTTTACTCAGTTTCACATAGTATATCCTTCTTAAAGTTGGGGATATCAAAATAGGTTTTGAAGACTACCTAAGGAGTCAAAAGACAGTGACTACTTATGCAGAATAATTCAGGATCAACTCCATTTCTTATTTTATCACATATAGCTATAAGTCACAGAGAATACTTACCATTGCTATCCAGGGGTTCCAGAAGGTAAAAGCCAACATAATATGAGAAGCAAGTGTAGTTATTACAGCACATAAAACCCAGATGATATTCTTTCCAAGTTTATCCACCAGGAGTCCAAAGACTGGTGACATGGGTGCTGATATAATATACACAATACTACAAAAGAATAAAAATAAGAGAACTGAACACTGTCTAGCCATGGACAGCTTTATGTGTTACACAGTACAACTATGTCCAGATAAAACACCATTACCTTGTTACCTGTAAGGTCATAAGAAAAAATACACCAAAAATCCCCTGTAACAACAGACTCCAGGACTCAAAACTCCCGAAATATCTGAGGACATGAAATATTTGACATCCAAGGAAACAGTGACATAGTCAGAGCTCTTGGCATCAGATACCACCAAGTATTTTATTGTTGTTTTTTATTTGTTTGGGGGTTTTCCACATCAAAAATTCATCTTCAAACTAGGAATATTTATTTAGTGTTGCTATTAAACTGCTTTTGTCACTCAGAAGAAAACAACAGCCTTCAGACAGAGTCTTTTCTAATTCCTTAATGTGAATATGCAAGACAATTATTCCCTGAGCCATGTGAAACCTATCTACCCACTTAATACAAGTCACCACATACAACACAGATCCAAAACCTCCTCCCACATGAACAGAGCCCAAAGACACATACACTCCAAGAACACAGCAGTAGCACATTTACTTACTAAATCAACCACAGTATACCTGTTAATTGCACTTGCTTCTTGAGGTGAGAATTTGAATTTCTCAATAAAGAAAACCCTAAAAAAAAAAAAAGATTCAGAAAAATACACACTGACATGAAAGAAAAATTAAGCTAGACACAAAATTAAACTAAAGACACAAGAACCTAGCGTACAAGAAAATTTAAAATATATATAAAAGCTATATAGCTTTGACATTAACATCCCATCACAGATCGTCATTTATAATTCATTTAGGAGTTTATTATCAGACTCATTTAGGAGCTAATTATCAACTTATTATTAGACAAATTTGTGTCTAAGGACTATTCAGATTTCACTTTGGGGAAAACATCCAAAGCACATAACCAACATATAATCCAATAATGAGACACTAGCAATCAAGAGTATTCTAAGAGAGTTAAGTGAGAATTTTTAGAATACAGAAGAATGCACAAGCAAAAAATAGGCATCTGCACTGCTGACTGTAAAGTCTCTCAGACTTTTCCATCTTATTCAATGTAAAACACGCATTGAGCTCAAGGGATCTGTTTCTAAATCCAAGTACATTCAAAAGCCATTTAATGGAGATTGTAGATCAAGTAATGTGGCTCAAAAGTGAAACCTACATTTAAATGCCCCAAGTTTCAACCTGATAAATATACCAAAGTCATCACAGTAAGAGAACTGTCCAAAGCCGTAACTACATTTAAACCCCCATGTCACATATGGAAGGAGTTCTACATGACAGCTGTCCAGAGCTTTCCACACCAAAACTCATAAATCTGTACCAAGTTTTAATCAGGAAATGGAGCATGCATTATGCTTTTGAGTTCTGACAGCTCAGCCTATGTTAAGCAATGGTATTTCCCACAAAGCTCAGCACATAAGGAAAATGCAAGAGTTGTGTTTATTTGTATACACAAGAATAGTGAACAATGCCACAGAAGAAATGACAAACCACAGTACAGACTTGCTGGGACATCATAGATTCCTTAGCCATCTGGGATTCTTAAATATTAGTAGCAATAATGCTAGTATTTTCACAGGTAGCTAGTTAAACCCCTAGCCACATTCAAGGGGAATAGCTACATAAGTGAGAGACACTTACTTTCCAAGTCCAATGAAAGGAAAAACCGCTGCATAGTAACAGACACAGATTACAAACATAAGCCACAAGGACAAAGAGAAGTCCTTCACATCAGTTAGCTTAATCACTTCACCTGGAGTGGGACAAGAGACAATACTGTTTCAGTCAGCATAAGCATAGCCAAAATTCATCCACACTGAATAAACATTAAGGTGATCACAAGTCATTACTAAAGCACATATTACTGCCACTGTCTATTCTCATTTAAAATTTACACTGAGTCAGTTAAAAATATACAAGTGATAAATCAACAGTACCAAAGTCAAGAACAAATTGTCTTTTCCACATTAAGCTGGATGTATGAGTTCTCTAAAGCCTCTGAAAGTCTTATGCATCAAAATACAAACCACTTTTTAAAGGAAATCTTTAACCAGCTAGCAAAATTCATGTCTGAAGTCTCATGTTAGATACTTTTACTTGCATCTCAAATCGAGTTTAATTTTTACTTAGTCTGAATTCTCTCACATGAAAAACTCAAACACCACATGCTGACAGAGAAGAGCTGCATGGTTTTGCACATCTATTAAAGGAGGTAAGACCAATTCCAACAAAACAAAATCCCAGATGCAATGATAAAGATCAAATTGATGTGAACTGGAAGGCTTTCCAAATGCTTTATAAATAAAGCAGATTACAGTGTATCTGCCTGTAAACTGGTGTTTAAAATTGCAAAACCTCCTACTGATATAAAAATTAACTAAAAATTATTATTAAAGATATAACTGTGGAAAAGGATGCAGCAGCCACTGAATTACCTAAAACACAAACCTGCACAGAGTGTAACTGAAAGGGTTTGCTCCAGAACAAAGCCCGAGGCAGGTTCAGCCACCCCCCTCTCCCCAATCACCTGTTTTCCCTTGCTCTTTAGAAAGTAGCTTCTCTGCTCTCCTGTCCAGATAAGCAAGGATTAATGCACACATCAGTGAAAAGAGACATGTTACACCACCTGCAAGAAAGAAATGAGACATATTTAGTTGTTGAGTCAAGTAGCAATTTGGCTTTAAGCACAACTAGCTTAGCATACCTTTACATATCTAATAAAACTAGGTTTAACACCAGCTTGTCTTACGTATAAGACTCAATAGCTGTACAACTCAAAGAATAAGGTGTAAATACTGAAGCCTACCATATGAGAGACATCTACTTTGAACTAGAGTACAAACATGCAGCAATATTTATTTTCTTTAAAACATTTATTTAAAACATTACCACCACTCCCACTCCGCAGAGCCAAGCTCCTTATCTGCACCATGTAATAAGAGAAACAAAGCCTGTGTCTTGTTGCAAGCACCAGGCCCTCAATACTGATAGCTCTGAAGGAAAAGATCCAAAGGCAGTGGAAATTTCACTTTTACACAAACAACTACATGCAAGCTTTGACATGATATCCTTCAGAAGATTTTTTTCCAAGTCTGTCCCTTACTCAAAGCACATTAAATGTTTCATCTCTATAAAATACAAATCTGAATTTGGCAACCACAAATAACAAAAACGCCTTACACAGCATATCACCACACAGCGTTACATCAGACACAGTAATGATACACTCTGCATAAGAATATTAGCCATTGATACAAACATTATTTGAATTGATCTTCCTAGTCTCAAACATATGCCTCCTGCTTTCAAGTTAGTGAGAAATCATTAACATGTATGCATTCTGTTAAAATTCACAGGCCTAAAATAGCAGGTGACATCAATTCAAAGTATTACTGACCTATCATGAGAGTTAACCCAAGAGTACTGGCACCACTACACCCCAGAAGATCTCGAACTCTAGAGTATATCCATCCCATGATATTCATGTTCACTGTGCTTCCCTAGGCAGAACAGACTCATGTGAAGAATAATGCATTTCACAATTATATGAATTCAAAAGGAACATTAGGGCAAACTGCTTATGGAAGTGTTTAAAACCAACAGGTAAGTTGCTATACAGGGAACATAAAACACCAGCACCAATTAAAAAATTATTTCCTGCTGTTTTGGTCCATGTTTGTAACAATCATTGCAACAATGATACACTGTCATAAACTGAAATTTTATACAACTCTTTCAACAAAGACATTAAAGTGTCACAAAATCCACATCATACACTGCATTAGCTCAGAAACTAATTTAATCGAATTTAATACCACATGTTAAAGTAAACAGGATTCCCACCTGACAGGCACCAGGAAGAAGCACCTTTCCCCACCACACTTCTGTCCCTAGAAAAGGGATCCATGGCTCCAATCCCAAGACTAACAACAGACAGTTAACTGCAGCTCAGCTGAGATGCAGCAACTGCCTAATTAGCAACAGTCTGACCCAGCTGTGACCAGCTAGCTCTCTTTTACTGAGGTAAATACCTGCAGTGGTTTAAGAGACCACAGGCTGTTGGAGAAGGCCTAACAAAAGAGGGATGTCTCCGCTCTCCTAATTCCCAGTCTGGTGTATTAGCGTAAACCCAACTCTAGCAGCAGTTTAAGCGATTGTATCAAACCAAAACTGCACAGCCAAGATGCAGCCACACACTTCCTATCAGAACCAGCAATGAGGACAACGACATCTTACAAGAGCAGATAAGGATGAGAGTTTCTTAAAGCAGCTATTCCAACTCATTTATCCCCACACCACAAGCTACTCTCAGTTAAGCCAGTATTTTATAGACCACCAATCAGTTAATCTGATGAAACACAGCAATGTGACCATCCCACCCAGTAATCTATGTTAATACCACCACCAGTCTTCTTCAGAAGTTTGACGGGTTCTATGAAATCTTATTAAACCATTTCCTTATGTATCCTTTGTCTACTGACTACAAATTGTTAACATCTAAAATTTAAATTTCACATGAATTTTTAAGTAAAACTACTCAGAAGCATTAGAAATGCTGTTTCCACCTGTCTCACTGCCAAGACAAGCTGCACACCTTAAAGTCTTTGAATTAAAGCTACACAGTTTTACACTTACAATTCTGGCCATGCTTAGCTGTAATCCAAACACAAGATTTAACTCCTTGCCTTTAAACCAGCTGACTGCATACGTGTTTTGTGCCACTGCTAAGGACTCTCCGCCTATTCTAAAAAAGGAAGTCACGAAAGAAAACACATTAATTGCAACAGACAAAGCAATGGGAAGCAGTCCGTCAGTTGCTGGCAATACCAAAATGACAGTATTTTAGAGAAATCTATCTGTGTGTACAAGTAGACCTAATGTATATATAGAAAACCATAGAATTCTTAAAAGACTATTCAGAAAGAGAATTGCAATGTCTTAAGAATAATTAAGAGTGCAAGGTATCTTAAGTATTAACTCTTGAAGCAATTACAATTGCCTTTGGTCATTTAGAAATTAAATCAGAGAGCAGCAGCTTAAAATTTCTCTTCTGCATTAAAACAACAAGCGTTACAGAACCTTACATGAATAAAACCAAAAGCAGGCATCTTACCTGGAATCAGAATTTCATGGAGTGATCTGCCCACCCCTCAATACAGCTGGTTGAATTTTCTAACATTTTCATGCTCTGGCACATTTACACCTTGGAGGTATTTCCTCTGACATTTGCTCTCATTTGTTGCCATTGTTGGAGCCCTGTTGTATTTGCTATTGCTTTTCTGAGTCTACAGACTCAGGAAAGTAAGAATTAAAAGGAGGACTAACACAGTTTTATCAGCCTACTGAATGCCTTATTTTTTCTGTTTTCTAACTTCAAATTCGACTGGGAACACAACTGAAGATCTTGCATGCCTCAACTTTATAGATGCCTCAATATCCAGCAATTTTTGTCTCTGAGTGTGGACACAAAGCCAGTCCTTACCTCAGACAGCACATACTATGCTCCTCTAGACTTACCCGAATATGAATCTGCCTGCATCCATCAGCCAGAAAGCATTAAGTAGTGCTCCCAAAGCAAAAACTACCTGGCAAATAAGCATTTAATGAAAAAATGTAATTTTATATTTGAAGTACGGAACAAACTAGAACCATTTCAAAACAGAAAAATGCTTTTCCTTTCCCAGACCTGCACAAATACTTCACTCCCACTTCACTCCCAGCTTTTTGCCTTTGCTCCCTTGGTCTTTTCATCATTCAGCTGGCTAAACAGTATCCAACCTGACCCACTCTGAAACTTAGCTCAGAAACACCTCTAAAGGCTCAAGTCATGCTTCACACCTTTACCATCATACCCAACCCAAGTACACCTACATAGTAGTTTCACAACAAACAGATAAAACACTTGGTTCCTTCACATTATTTCACTCATCTTTCAAGGTCCTCTCTTCCCCAGTTACCCCATCCGTTCCCAGCTATCCCAATAAAACCCAGGGCTTGCCCATTTCATTCCTCTTCACCTGTTTGTTCCCATCTGAAAACCCACTAGCATGCAAAAAGCCATTTGGGCTTTTTCTCCCCAACCTCAGTAGAGAAGCTTCAGACGTGTATCATCCTTCAGCCTCTCGTTTGCACTTACCTGCCCAGCACAGACAAAGATACTAAATATTATAGTGCCCAACCTGTAAGAAAATTAAAATCACTTAATGCATAGCTAGAATCTTTTTTTCCCCATAAACACCATATTATATCTACAGCAAGGGAACAAGTGGAATTGATATGCAATAAAAGATCTCTGTAATAAACGCTACACCTTGACAGCTTCCTTAAAAAAAGGAGTACAGACAGGCAATTTTTAAGGAACTTTATTTAAGAGAAGGAAGCTCATTTATAACAGTGGAATTCTCTACATATGTGAAAAAAGCTTGGAAAAGCTTATTATAATTTGAAAAACTCCATATTACATAGCCTGTATTTCACATGCACTTGAAGTTCTACCATCCATTGAACATGAGCAACACTAAGATTAAAAAAAGGAGTACAGACAGGCAATTTTTAAGGAACTTTATTTAAGAGAAGGAAGCTCATTTATAACAGTGGAATTCTCTACATATGTGAAAAAAGCTTGGAAAAGCTTATTATAATTTGAAAAACTCCATATTACATAGCCTGTATTTCACATGCACTTGAAGTTCTACCATCCATTGAACATGAGCAACACTAAGATCACCCCTACCGTATTCCAAAAACTCTGTCTATCAGAAAACCTCCAAAGAAGCAGAGAACCACGTTAGGCCAGGAATACCAGGCATAGAGTGCCATGAACTGAGCTGCGTTCACCTTCATATCCTACACAAAGGAGAGGGAGAGGGAGGAGAAAGGGGGAGGGATTAAAAAAAGTACTTACTCCTAAGGTAATTACAGGGACACCGAACAAGCATTTAAGCAGAACTACTTAAGAAGCAGCGCACTGTCCGACCTGGCCGCTGCCCGTGCCTCCCTCGT